AGGAAGTTAGCAGGAGATACAGGAGAGAGGAAGGGGATCAGGCAGTCAGCCACTGAGATATGAAATACATTCAATAAGAAAACAGATCAAATGATATAGAAACAATTATGATAGAAAAAGACGTTAATATGGCTTTAGCTATGTCCATTATGAGTGATCACGACTATTAAAGGGTTCAATCGACCTCTAGCAAAACACGATCGTTCCGTTCACAACCACAACCTAGACTATCGTTGGTGGGCATAGACATAGACACTACCCAGTTTTACTAGTCTCGGGAAGCGGCAACGTCCATGTACCCAAAATAATGTTTGCTGAGAATTCCCGAAAAATGATCCCACTGAACACGCTTTGTCCATCCCCTTTTGCCAGCAAACAAAGTCTTCTGATGTGGTAGATCTGTGACGGTAGGCAGACGACAACTACAGTTGCTGGGTCTAGATTTGGCCTATTCCTCCTTGAAGGGTAGTTCTTCTTTTGGCATAGCTTTCCAATAGCCTATCGAAACCATAGGATTAGCCACTCAGATGTCTTCCACTATTTTTCTATTGTAGCACCATTTTCATACTTACCCCGATATTCCTCGCCTGCCGCAATGACGGCATTCCTGGCACTATTTAGATTGGCCTTCGCTTGCTCAATGTGACCTTCTATGGCCTTCTTATTTTCGTACGCAGTTCGATACGTCAAGAGCACATGAAGTCGAGCCTCAACCGCTCTGTTTAGAAGAGAGGTTAATCAGCTAGATGTAATCTTCACATATAAGAACACGATGACGAGTGGACACTCAAAGTCAAGAGATAGGGCCAAGGGATGTTCGAGATAGCAAGATAAGGAAGTGTAATCGTACCGGAGCGCCACTTGGCCCCATTCATAGGCGAGCCTCAGGCGTTCTAGTTGGACCTTGGGGGTGTATAAGGTCTGGTTTTTGCCGCTGTTATGACGACAATTGTTGTAAGCCATTCTCTTGGGGTCAATCTCAGCGACCAACGCCTTGTACTGGGCATGGGCGTCTATAAGGTCCTGAGGCCAAGGATCCTTTCTGTATGCTTCTGGGTCCACAGTCTCAACCCATGCTTCTAGGGCCGAGATTGTGGACCTGTTTTCTCGCACCTCATACAACATCTCTCGTATCATGATATGGAGCGTGTTCAGAGGTCTAGGAACCTCAGGCTCGGAATCCGGGTCTGAGAGCGAAATGTTTGAATGGGTCATTACGGCTCTCTTCAACGATGATAGTAGTTCCTTTTCGATGCTAGTAGGTGGAATAGGATTTGCATAGGATTTGCTAGCAAGTAATTGGATTGTTCAGGAAAGAAGACAGGTGGGATGACAGCAAATGTCCTATGAAAATTCGAAACAGTATGTGAATAAACAAAAGAGTGAAGCCGAAGTCTAAAAGTGAATTGGAATGAGAATAGATTACGATTTCGTAGTTGGAAAAATGAGGAGCCCAGGCCATGTTCTGGACGAATTGGAAACACCGGAGAACATAAGGCATATACCGATTTCGACTGATACAATCTTAATATTCTATCTCAATATTCAGTAGTGCGTAGTGCGTAGTGTTTAAGAATCTTCAAATATCTGTGTTATTCTGTGGCAGCGCCCGGCAGTCACTCCAGACTATGAGCATCGACGAGTGAACTATATAGCTCACTACTCTCTAGGCCATGGACTTTCCCGCGAAAAAACTGATATTCCATACGCGTTTTGCCTCCAGCCGCAATTTCTGGGAATAATACCCGTACTAGTAGTATAATACATGGCATTTACAGTGAATTGAATAGTATCAAAACCGGAAAGAGCTACTGACTCATAGCTACTGAGAACTGGACCCCTCTATGAATTTTTACTCGTGGGTAATAAAACCACGCAACATCTTCTACTTAGCTGTGTTCGAACCCTTCATAAAAGTTATTCTTTCAATTTCCAGAATTTCAGCCCCTCGTTGTAAACTGTTGGCAGGGCCATTCCAGCTGCTCCTGGCATTTACCGATAAATCAGGCATAACTACGCATCATTGGTGGCGCTTATGTCATCGAGCGAGGAGCATAAAGATCAAGGACTCTATCCTTACTTCATTCTCAGACTATTTTCTGGAAATGACCCAGAGGACTGAAGAGCGCCCATCAACTTCAAATCTTCTTTATCCCTTGCACACTCTTGCCACTATGGCTTCGATCATGGATACCATCGTTGCCGACAAAGTCATCCACCAAACCCCGGCTATCAACACAACCCTACTCGAAACTTCAAATACAGACGACTCGAACCCTTCAGATGAATCTGAAAGCCTACCATCAGATCACTCAAACGCCGCGAACCTGTGGGGAATCCTACTAGCAGATAGTTCAAAACCCTCAGACTTGTCTGAAAGCACACTGGCAGATGACTCGAAACTATCGGACTTATCCGAAAGCATACTGACAGATGATTCGAAACCGTCGGACTTGTCTGGAAGCGTACTTTCAGATGATTCAAGTCTTTCGGAACTATCCGAAAGCCTACCCACAGATGACACTTGCTATTCGCACTCACATACACACCTTGAGGCCCTCCCAGCTGAGATTCGATTCCAGATTCTCTCCTTGCTGGAATATAAAGGACTCAAAGCTTTGGTTGAAGCATCGTCCATCTACCATGAACAGTACCTTGTCGATTGCGGGCTTCTTCTCTTTGGCTGCCTGGAAAATACCCTGGGTAGCTTGATCTTCGAAGCATCTGTTGTCCATGAGACTGGCTCACTAGCCTTTTCTGAAGCACGCACCTCCGACAATATCCTTCAATTTTGCCAGTCTCTCAAAGAGCGGCGCTCGTCGTCCAAGTTCTCTAATTTAACAGAAGATCTCACTAGAGAAGATGCGAAGGACATGATGGCCTTCCATTTCGATGTGATAAAGCCTTTTGCAAAACACTATGCTGAGTGGGCATTGAGCAATTTGGCAATGGAGCCGGAAGCGTCACATACCAAGGTCGATGAGCCTCTAAGTGAGTCTGAGGAATTCAGGATCATCCGCGCTCTGTATCGCTTCCAGATATGCTGCAATTTGTTTGGCCTTGGCCCTCACCAAGACCATGTTAGTGGCGACTATCAGGACTACCTGTTTGTAAAAACTCGCAAAATAAGCCAGTTTCTTGAGAGTCTCTATCACCCCTGGGAATTGGAGGAGTTATACTGCATCAATCTTTTTGCAGAAGAGAAATGCACAGATTTCATCAAGTCTATCGAGTGGGACTTTCATGAAGATAATCCCAAGTTTGACCGCCAAGGGAGACCATGTACCCCGGATGGTGCAATCAATATTCGCAGTCAGTACTCCCCTAGTTCAAAGACTTTGATGCCTTGATTTGTGACACAGGAGAATATTCGGGAGGAAACTAATCTGATGACAGCTTACGATGACTGCTACATGAGGGGAATCCTTACACGAGGCCTCGGATTCCTCCACAAGATCATGTACGAGATTCAAGACCACATGGAGGTAGTCCGCATTATGGAGAATAACTTGGTTATGTTATGGGCCGAATTTCTGGGTGGGTGCCGCGGGGCTCTCGAAGTTGGGACAAGACACGATCGCCGCCTCGATTACCCGTCGGCCGAGGACAAAAGAGAGGAGCTGAGAGATCCTTTGCCCTTTCGAGGTGATATTGTCAACAACTCGGACAGAGAGTACCCGCCACTGGCGTGGACAATACTATGGGGAGGAACTTACAGTAATATGATAGGAGATGAGGGTGTGTCGTATATTTCAGAATGGGGCTACGTTATGTGGGATGCAGCGCGGCTGGAACGCACCGGTGCGAAGGAAGTGTTGGCAAGGAGGTGGCGTGAAACCTTACGGTTATTATTGGGGGAGGACCCAAGGGAATACAACGATAGATACCTAGCTCTGCGATAGGAGTATCTAGATGCAACCATGTTCACTGCCCCAATTATCTTTGAGCTCTCCACAATGGAGACGGCAAAATGCCGATGCGGTCCCTCTTGAACAAAGTAGACTCCACTAGTAAGTGCACGGTTATGATTCCGCTCCGTGTGATGCATAAGATTTGCAAGAACTCCTTCTATACTTCTGGGCCAACCAATACTAAACTACCTAGTTCGTTGTATTACCACAATCCAGCCTAATTTCCAAGTAATTTGGTGGGTCAAGAGGATCTGGATGCCGACCGACGGTATGCAAGTAATTAGCGGCCATGGAGCAAGGCGATCTTTGATGAGGTGACGCAACAGGTGGACATAGAATCTATAAAGCACTAGGGAACATTGAATGTATACTCCGATGCTCGCTAATTACGCTAATCACAGCCACACAGTGGACAGACTGGCTGTGCTACTGGCATCGGTGCAATGACAGCTTTGTTGTGCCTGATTGTCGATCAGCGGGCGGGATTAACACCCAACGGAAGCACGAGATCCCTCATTACTTCAAATATTCTTTCACTATGGTGTGGAATAATAGATGCTAAGTTCTGCAACCATGCGTAGTTTTTATAAGTAAATTAATATTAATCTCTCTTGAATGGCTGCTAGAAATTGACCATCTGGGCAGTGCAGAACAGTGGAATGAAGATTGACTTTGGTCGGCTGACGTTCCCCGGCACATACTGCGGTGACATAAGCAACACCGAAGATGCGGGGTAAACCCCCCCTGTAAACGCCAGGGAGCACAAAGCTGAGAGCTCCCTTTATAACACTGAGCGAGGTACCTCCTCTGTCCACATTCTTCTCCTCATTCACACTTCTAATGTTACCTGCGCAGGACCGCAACCATTTACCATAACGCTGTCTACCCTTCCACAACCCTTCATAGTCCGTATCTATCTTCGAGATAACTACCCCTCTATCAGCGAATCTCCCCTCACCGCCAGATCACATGCATCACATCGCCAAACGGCCGATTGTGAGGTCAAAATTGTGTGCGGGGTCACTTTTGGGCCAACATACCAGGCGCTATTCATACGTTCCTTGGTCATGTCCGTGGACTCTACGACATATGAAATATGAGATTCGCGATAATCATAACACGATCGCCTTGCTCCGTCAATGGTTCGACACTATAGATCCTAAAACCTATCGCAAACAAAATCCGTGGTCGGGGGAGCTCACCGACGCTTATGAGCACTACAAATACCTCGACAAGATCTTTATCCAAAGAAAGGCCATCTACATGAACGAGCCGTTGTTGACATTAGAGGCCACTCCTGATCAGCATGTGAAGTCGATACAGTTGGCGATCGAATGGGGGGAAGCTGCTCTTAGGTATTCCTCACCATCTCACTCTGCATGTGTGGCTATCGCGACACAAGTCGCGATCATGGCAAACTTACGTGCAATAATGCTAATGCATCTGGTACAACGTAGCTCGGCCAAGGCGAGAATCCACGTCCTCGCCAACTATCGAAATGCCTATGACGTCACAGTTATCCACTCGCACATAGAAGAGGCAGAAAGACATCTCTTCAGTGCCATGAGTGCATTGCGCGAAGCAAGAACGAACTTCCAAGGTACGATACTCTACCCATGGTATAGACTACATTGCATGGCTAATAGGCCTGGGCTGTATAGTAGCAAAAAGCGACTACAAGTTCCCTTTACCTTCGGTTCTATGCCAACCTGATCTATACCCACACTATTCAACATCCTTCATTGACCTATGCTTGGGGGTGCATGTTGATCCCACAGTATAGCCAATGCTGTGTTAGCTCTTCCACTCTTTTGCTTCTTTCTTATGTCTCTTCACAACCCTGATTTTTCTAGCCGGCTGTTGATTTCCTTTGTTTATGCATAGATTCCCTCACGCACATCTGAGATGTGAAACGTGCAAGTCGCGTTGTGCTATTTGTTTCTGTTCAATCATGCCGTTATGATCTGCATTGCTCTCCGCTGGTTCTTGAATCCTTTAGCGCTGTTGTCCCTGATCCGGGCCATTTCATCAAACTTACATACCCTTCTGATCACGTCGCTCACGAGCTCGGTGCTTAGTAAATCCGATACCTTTGTGTTAATCTTTTCATGGCTCTTTCTCTTTTCGAAACATTTTCCCGATAAAGAAAACGTAGAGAGTGCTTGAGTTGGAACTTCGGTCAGTCGGGTTCATTGGTGCACAAATACAACGGTCGCGTACATTCCTCCTCCCTCAAAGAAGCCATTAAAGATGTCAATTACCTCGTCAATCTAACTTTACTCATCAAACAGGCCGAACAAAGTTATTACAGCGACTACAGGTTCACTTTTCTACCTGTCAGCTCGCATCTCGAAGTTTATGGACGGCGATCTTGCGACCGGGTAGTCACATGCGGGGGGTGTGGCGCAGTCTTCATTCACTAACAAAGACATCCCATCAGTCAGCCTTGACAGCTTTCCCTGCTTATTATCTCCGTGTCACCTCTCCACACTCTATAAGTCCAGTCGAGAATTGATCGACACTGCTCCTACACCATCCAATCCACAAACATGTCGAACATTCCGATTTATTCATCCGACCCCAATCCACACACCTCCCCAAAAAGGAAAGAAACAACAGCCAACACAGCAAAAACATTCCCACTCTTCAACTTCCTCCCCGCCGAACTACGCCACCAAATTTGGCAATTCGCCCTCCCCGAACCCACACACCCTCCCTCGGCCTTAATCCCCCACAGAAAAGGTTGCTGGGTGGCCAAACCCATCCCCTACACAGGAGAAGCAGGCCAAGTCAACGACCCCGACGGCAACTACGAGATAGTATTCGACATGAGCCTTCTGGACCACGTACAGATTCATACCCCCTTACTACACGTGAACAGCGAATCGCGAGCCATTGCACAGAAATGGGCGCAGCGTATATCAGCTCCACGAACGAACCGTCTCAACGAACAACAACAAACCCAGGCTCAAACGTACAATGACGATAATAGTAGCGAATATATACCCCCCTTCTCCCGCCAATTCGACATCGACAGAGACATTCTCTACCTCGTCCCCGACAACATCGTCGACTTGATCCTCGGGGCAGGGGACCGTCTTGAGCAGCCAGACATGAATGGCAAGGCAGCAAGAGTGGTGTTCTCGTTACCGTTGGTGGTGGTGAGTGAAGAGGTTATCTGGCTTGAGGATGAGGCGCTTGTGGAGGAAATCATGGAGCTGTTTTCGATCATGGGACCGGTTTATATTATGGTGGGGGAGCAGCTGAAGTGGAAGGAGGGTGGGGTGCAGAGGTGGTGGGATGTGGAGTTGGTGTCGAGGAGGGCGTTTGTTTGGCAGTGGATGGAGAGTCGGTTTGTGGAAACAGTCGAAGAGAGGTTTGGGAGTGATGAGGTGCATGAGAGGATTGTGCAATGGTGTGAGTGGATGGGGAGGGTGTTGACGAAAATTAATAGAACGAGGTTTGAAATGGGGGTTGTGAGAGTTGTGAGGAGGTGATACATACCTTACCATGTGCTTACCATGTGCATGACTTTTATACCCACATCTCATTATGTTGTACCTGAGACCCTGCCTGATGACTATAAAATAAAAGCTCCTGATGCATGAACTCGGGTCGGGCCGTCTTCCGAGCCAGGGATGCGATTCGATGAATACTTTTTTACTTGTACCCTGTACAAAGTACAGAGGTATCTACGATGTACATTGAACAAATTCAAAGTATCATCCATACGCGGTAGTCATCATTCATACACAGCTGACATCTATGCCGGAGAAACGTAACAATCATCTCAGCAATGCTCACCTACACCCAACTAGAAAATATCCCTCCCCACCATCATCAACCAAACAACACCCTCACAACGTAGTACTCCGTACCTCAACCAAATACCAAGCTGACAAGCATTACCCCCGAATCCAATCTAGACCGAGTATGATGTCATCCACCATCTTACAAAGTAACTCAGACTAAGACCTAGCATCAACCCCACCCCTCGATAAATAGTAAACTCCTAAATCCGTTGGACGTCCGCCAACAGCAATGTATCAATATGTGAAGGATTCCACTTCCGCGCAGCTCATTAACAAATAGCCCGATCTTTACACAGTCTTACTTTTAGTAATGAACCGAACCGAATCGGACACGGATACGGACAGGTAGGTACACGGAGCTTAGCATAAACCCCGACCCACCCGCTAATCTTCCGATCGGAGCGGAGGTATGCGGTGATAAGGGTCGGTGTTATCACTACATCTGTGTTTGCTTACTTTCAGATTATCAATTGTACGGAATAAATAACATTCAAAGAATAATGTTAAGGTATAAATACTCACCTCCACCCATCCCCTCTCTCATTTCAAATCTAGAATATTGATTGAATCTCGTTCTCCAACCAACCAAACCAAATCAATCAAACTACTACCAACGAAAGAAACCATTGGAAGAAAATGTCCCAAATCCTCATCACCGGCGGCACCGGCTTCCTCGCCAGCACACTAATCGACATCCTACTCTCCCGAGGCCACAACATAATCACGACCGTGCGGAGCGCTGAAAAAGCCTCGCAGGTACAATCCATCCGACCTGACATCCCGCCCCACCGACTTATAATAAAAATCGTCCCGGACATCTCCCTCCTCTCGGCATTCGACTCCGCCGTGGTCAATGACCCTCCACTCACCGGTGTAATTCACACGGCGAGTCCATTCCACTACAGCATCGACAATATCAAGACGGACATGTTAGATCCAGCTGTCAATGGCACCATCGGGATATTAAGTTCCGTGCAGAAGTACGCACCTACGGTGAAGAAAGTGGTGTTTACGTCGTCGTTCGCGGCGATGTGGAATCCCCATAAACCTGCGGGGAGCAAGTACTCCGAGAAGGATTGGAATAACGTGTCCTGGGAAGAGGCGGTTAGTAGTCCTGCGAATGCGCAGGGACAGGCTGGGTACCGGACGAGTAAGGCGCTGGCGGAGCGGGAAGCGTGGGGGTTTATGGAGCGGGAGAAGCCGAATTTTGGGTTGACGGTGATGAATCCGTCGTTGATATTCGGGCCGGTTGTGCCTGGGTCTTTGAGGAATCTGGGGGAGGTGAATACGTCGAATACGAGGATTAGGGATTTCGTGGCGGGGAAGTTTAGGGAGAAGTGTCCGGCGACGGGGAGTGCGTTTTGGGTGGATGTGAGGGATGCGGCGATGGCGCATGCGGTGGCGTTGGAGAGGGGGGAGGTGACGGATGGGAAGAGGTATTGTTTGACGGCTGGGGGGTTTTGTAATAGGGAGATTGTGGAAGTTCTGGGGGAGGAGTTTCCCGAGGTTAAGGGGGGGTTGCCGGAGGGGGAGGAGGCGTTGAGGGATGGGGAGTATCCGGAGGGTGGGCCGAAGTATGGGTTTGATAATTCGGCGTCGGTGGGCGATTTGGGGCTGGTTTATCGCGGGTTGAGGGAGAGTGTGAGGGATACGGTGGTGAGTTTGAGGGGGGTTCCTGAGTAGAGTGACATTATAGTTAGATGATATAAAGAGACTTTGATGAATAACACTTTATTGATGTCATTGTATTTGAACAGTGTGTGTTGAAGTATGGAACAGAGAAAGCTCGGTTGGCTTGCAGGATAGCAATATATTTGGAATGTCTGCAGAATCTCGGGATTTCCGATGTTGAGCTGCGATCTAGATCTCTGGCCCACCGTCAAACTTGGTTCGCACGGATTAGATAAAGATTATTAAGTGGGCATATTTGCAAAAATCTCCACTTTTCGCCTCATCGCAAGGTCGAGGAGAGCTGTAGTGGGGTGAAGCTATTCGTTCTTGTTTCGTAGAGCTCCATCACAAATCGTACAATTCTCCCACACCAGCCAGTGTGGTTCGCATTTTACGAACAACCAACCAATGAGTGAGTGTCTGTAAAACAATCAGCCGCGTGACATCTTCAAATCATGAAATGGCACCTGAGCGTATATATTTCAGTCCATGTCCCTCCGAAGGCTCTTGAGGCCAAGCCGGGAGTCCCAGCGCTAGTCGCCGCTATCCCGTATACAGTTGGTCTGCATACGTATGCCTATAGTCTATACGAGATTAGAAATAACAGAATAAGAGTCTTCAGTCTGTCATTGGTTTGTTTTTGGACCCCAAATCCCTAAGGAACTTAAGCTTAGGCAATCATGTTGCATGGTGGGGCTTATGCAGTTGGGTGAAGATAGTTCCCTCGCTGAGGAACAGAGGATATAAAGCGGGACTGTACTCTCGTCAACATCGAATCTAGTTTCCTGGTAAGTCTTCAGTACTCAAAGACTAGTATTGCTCACCATGAAGTCCTCCATCATCTCCGCCTTGGCTCTGGCCGCTGGTGCTCTTGCCGGCCCGTCTGCAAAGATCGAATCCGACCTTGAGAAGCGCAACCCTAGCGGATCGTTCAGTCTGTATGCCTGGGGTGTCGCCGCTTCCGGTCTCAAGTTCTTCTATTCCGATGGTACATAGTCATCCCAGCTCAGTCCCCAATATCATGCTGACATTCGCAACAGGTCTCGCCTACGCCGGCGACTCATCCCTCTGGCCCTATGGATCCGTCACCACCGACGTCACCTGTCAGCATTCCTTCCACACCACATACACAGAGCAATGTCACTAACCATGCTGCAGTCGTCATCACCGACACCGAACTAATCACCACTGCCACCACCGACGGCGTCACCCTCGACTCCGACACCCTGTTCTATATCCGTCCCACGGCCGACGAGATCCTGCCTGTTGGTTTCACCGGCAACGGAATCGATACGCCTTCTGATGCCGTCACTGAAGACTTCCTCTTTTATGGTTCTTATCTCATGTGGGAAGAGTCGTCTGGCGAGTTGAGCGATGTGTTCCGTCTCAAGGAGACCAATGTCACCGATGTTTATCAGGTGTATTGGGATACGTCGAGCTTGGATGAGAGTGGGTATTATTATCCCACTGTCAAGGATACGGCGCCTTCTAGTTAGGTTGTCGTTGAGGAGCTCGGGAGGGGGTTTGTGGGGATGTTCACGATGGGATTTCGATGGAGGGTGGGTGGTAGCAAGCGCCCTGGTTTGAAGAAAGTAGTTAGTTAATGCGGACGTGATGAGTCTATGGAATCAAGGACAATCGAGGCGTTGTTGCGACCAAAATAAACTAATTTGGTGTAATTAATTGATGGTGGAAGACAAGATGTTGCTGTAGTTGTCTGTAGTAGTCCCTCGAGGGATTTTGTTGCACAAGGGTATGTCTTTAGTCAGCTTCAGTAGGACCACATTCTGTTCGAAATGTGCACAGTTCAATGTCTTCTGGAGAAAGGGACACGCCTCGATGGAGTCTTCTGCAAACCTCTAGATCGATTAGTACTAGAAGGCGACAGGTACTAGTATGCTTGGAAGACGGCTAAGGTGGCACGTGCTTCTCGACGGTACATCTTCCCTCAGGGTAAATCTAAACCATATATTGAGCTGGATAGAGGGGACTTTTTCTTGTTGCTCAGCTCAGTATTTGTCGAGTCGATATGCGACGCCAGTTTCGTTGAGATTGGATTGCTGAAGTAGAGGAAGGTCACTTTAGTTAATTGAGAGTACGTAGATGTGCAAGTTTATGTTGACAGAGGGAAAACAAATCATTATCTGTCTGAGCACTTTCGTCCTAGCTAATTATTATCGTCCATACATATGTGGACATGACAAAGAATTTTGGAATAGAATGCAAGGGTATTTCGAACAGCAAATAGGTGCAATATGAGCAAGAAGAAGGTTGCATGAGCAACGGATATCAGAACCAGCGACGGAATCTTAACAGAAGCGACACACGATTTCACGACAGCACCTTCATCAGACCTTAAGCCCACTTTCCGAGAAGAGCCATAATACCAGCACCCCAGAGCATGGTGATGACCATAAATGCCAGTCTCTTGTTGTCTTGGGAGCGGTGAGGGTCGAAGAGGAAGTCTCTGGCCAAAAGCTCAACCAGTCCAGTGTAGATTAGGATACCGGCAGAGATGGCGTCCAGAACACCGGAGACCACGTTGGCAGTGTACGAGCCAGAGTTGTATGTAGTTCTGACACCAAGACCAATAGCGATCGAGATGGGGGTGGTCAATCCGTACAAGCTGCAAAGGATCCACGGCAGCCAGCTGCCCTTGCGGAAAGGAATGGCGGACATACGAGCTCCAATACCCAGACCCTCGAAGGACTGGTGGAAGACAAGGACCGGATAGAGAGTCGCGAATTCGTCGCCGGTAACTCCCAGGTTCAGACCGATGATGACGGAGTGGAAGATAACACCGAACTCGAGAATGAGGAAGGCGGCAATCTGTTGCTTGAAGGACCTTTCGATCAAGGTGTCAGTGGTGGACAACTCCTCCACATCAGCCTCGCTCTTCCTAGAGTTTCCGGGCGATGCCTTGTCCACAGTCGAGTTATCCACTGCACTGGTCATGATTGGCTCGGGGTCCTCTCTGCAGACGCCATACTTGACTTCGACATAACGCTCAGCACCAAAGTCAAGGAGGAAAATGCACATGAGCGAAGTCAAAACGATCGCAGGGCACCAGGAGTAATCTGCCCAGTTACCGGTCATTCCAACACATGACTGCGGGCCGATTTCGGAGTATGCGGGGTCCAGAAGATGGATAAAAGCTGTTGCAATAATAACACCAGCACCGAAGTAACGAGCGAAGAGGTAGACGTAGAGTGGGATATGCAGCCTGGGGACGCGCTTGGCGACGACGGGGAAGAAGGTCACTGCAGTTGAAACGGCAAAGATCACGAAAATAGCCGAAATGCGGGCGCCCAGCTGGCCGTTGTAGTCATTTTCTGACTTGTTGAGATAGCAGATGATCTCCGTTGGGTCGGCCGTGTCGAGGTCAACATCATTAGGATTGAACGACATTTTGAGGATATTGAGATTGTATGTCACTCAGATGATTGAAAGATGAGAGAATAGAATTGACGGCTCTGATCATTTCCTCAGTTTGGCCATCGTTGCGTCACGGTCTTATATAATGGAAGTGCGTGGCAGAGATTTTCCAGGTGAGGACCTGGTGAGGACCTTGAGAGCTGTGGACAGGCCCGGTCTCCGACACTAACAAGGTAGCCTGCCTCTGACTCGTTTATTCATTTAACTTATCTGACTGACTATTGCTTTGGCGAGTGTTAGTCAATGATTGAGTCAACTACATTTGTCAAATCCCACGTTCTGCATCATCTTCATGCAAGAATATCGCTCCAAGAGCAGGGGTATCTTCTTCATGAGACAACCGAGTATGACCATCATCAGATTGTCACCATCACACCACCATTCACTTCACGCTGCAAACAAAATCAGGAGAGGGATTTGTAGCAGGTAGGACCTTGGTGGAAAATCAGCGGAGGAAGAACGTTGGTAATAATGATGAGGGTGATGGTGATGGGCTGTCAGACAGGTGCCGTGGATACGGGTGGGGAGGAAGCGAGGACGATGGTCGGCGGAAGAGATTAAGCCCAGCCCACCTCAACCGGGCTAGACCTCCACTAAGGTACCGCTTCCCTCGTCGCGCATGCCACCGGTTGGCCCGATCCATTGTCCGCCCCCTCTCTACTACGTGCATAGCCTGGTTGGTGTGCCCCTGCTGCCCAAACCCAGATTCAGCGTGATATCGGATGTCCCCCGACTGGCGCTGTGAGTTATTTGCTCACTTCTCGGCGACCAAGCAGGTACTCACACCAGTCCACCATCTTAGTCCAATCGCATGGCTCCTATCCAGGGTTGTCTTAGATGGATAATAGACGCATTCATAAAGATTTAGTCATTTTCTTCTTCATGGTGGACCACCCTGCGGCGCTTAATGCCGACTAGAAAACGCCACAGTTGATCGAACTGATCAGGAAACAAATCCGAAGTTGCCGCTGTCTAACCCAAGCGAAACAGTAGTCGATGGATGCCTGTCTCCTACATAATTCCTCCTAGTTCTATTCGCTCTCATGAACTAGCCCTCGCTAATCTTTAGCCCCCATGTCTTACACGAATGCTGCGGTTTGCCTTCTTGGTTAGCCTAATCGTTGTCGATACTCCTACCTCATGGTCACAGGAATGAAGACAGAAGACATGAACCGATACAGAAGCAACACATCTGAACAATATCAGAGTCATATCATCATAGCATATGTCATGTACAGCACGCAGTACGAGGCGCTGTCAAATATTCCTTGCGTCTTGGCCCCATATCACACTGCGATGATGCAGTCATAATCTAGCTTAACCGAAAGCTCCATCGGCAGACGCAAAATGCAAAGGCCCACACAGATGAGACCCCTAATCCAGTCCTTAGAGTCTAAAAGCCTGAAATCTCTTTGGCTTTTCGTGGATCCTGCCAATTGAGTCACGTTGGATGCTTCCTATCGGGGAAAGTTCCGATGTGGAATCCGCCGCCAACATGTGGATGATGCATTCCATGCTGTAAAAAGCAAGCCATCTGGAAGCTCTTGCCCCTTGCGGCTATTCCCGTGCTTGTCTCGAACCCTTTGGTAGTGGAGGTCGAAATAGTAAATGCGACTGCGATCAACCTGTGGAGTGCTGTCCAACGTTTCACTACATGCATTTGACACGTGCATCTGCATGGAGTCTGCAGATGATTCGTAGCATTGTCTTTTGACAACTTTATCTACGATTATCTGTTTATTGAGGGACAAGTTTATCCTCCCAAAAAGCCTTTTCTATTGTACTTGGCACACCTGAAGCTTATATGTAGGTGACATGATACAAAAGACAACTAAAATCATAAACCCATATCATGAATACATTCCATTCACTCCCACTTGCGCACCCAAGTGTTTCAAATCATGAAACCATCTCAATATACCCTATAGTGTTGTCTTCAAGCCCGAGATGCAGCCTGAAATTGGTGGTAGTGGTATAGATGGCCGAGGCGCGGTGGTGAAGTCATGGCCGGGGAGCGAGCATCGACAGCATTTAATGCTAATTATTACAAGGTCAGTTTCCTCTGGTTTCGCCGGTATACAAGACCAGGTGGCTCAAAAATATGGGTTACTCACGCTGCAAGAGGCGCAGGAGCAGCTGGAGCAGTTGCCAGAGCAGCAGTTGCAGGAGCAGGGAGACATTTTGGCAAAGTTGGTATAAAACCGGTAAAGATGTACTAAAATAGATTGAGATTGAAGGCTTTGTTTTCGCTTGAGAACTTGAGACTTGAGTTGTGGTTAATTAGAAAAGATCGAGCAACCAGAGGCATGAGGGCCTATTTATGTCCTTCCAGAGCAACCAATTTCATCCGTCGTGCCATTTTCCTGCGCTATCCGCGCGTCATGACCATTCCACGCTGCACCAAACATGACGGTGCAGCCCCTCATTTGGCTTGAGTCGGCTGTGGGGTGAGGCAGCTGAATGGCGAGTTACATAACAGCCTGCAATAACTCTTGTAGCATGGCTAAACCTTGGTTAGTGAGGGAGCGTTGCCTGACCCTGCTTCCCCACCATAGGCTTGACCAGAAAAGACGCTAAATGTCAGCAGCCGTCGCCTGAAGTGGATTCTAATCACGGGTTGGTGAATGATGATCAACCTCCTTCATCCGTCTCATCTTGGATACACCTGCCAGGTGAGAGAAGACCAGCATTTATGACCGAAAGGAAGGAAAGAAACGAGAGGAAATCGTTGTGCGGGTGTTGAAAGTCAGAATACTTATAAAATGGAGAGAATGAGCACCTTGAGAGCATGAGCACCTTGGTGGCACTCACGTGTCTTCCCGGTCACTCAAGGTCCTCATTCTGCTCTGTCTCCTTTTCCTACTCTCTCTGGCGGCCTGAAACGCTCCGAAGCGCCCGTGTGTGTGTCTGGTCTCTTAGTGACCACCATTTTCTCGCCGTCTTTGACTAGTGCAGGTAAGAGTTTTCGTCCTCCTCGAGATTGGCGAGATCTAACTCCCAATCCGGATAGCAGGGTACTCACACAGTCGACGCTACAGGTTTCGATTCGTACTGCTTACCCACCATGAGATACCTTGCGCACGTATCATGACCCAGCTCGACGCCAACTTTGCAGTCATCAGAATGGAGGCTAGGCTGCCCTGGTGAACTTGCCCCCACCGACATAACGAGTCCTATCCAGCTTACGAGGACGGAGAGCACGGTGCGCTCTCGTTACTTTTTCCTTCTATAGTCACGAAGAGAAATTTCACTTGCAAATGCTCCCGGACTTCTCCTATCCACCAATCGGTGGCACCGAACCCCTGGATACAAGCAGCAATACGTTCGTTGTAGTAATGATATTCGAGTCATACGGTTCGCGACACTCCACACACCTCCCGCGGTGTGTCACCAATCTTGTCTACGGGGTCACTTTTACCTGATGTCTGTCTCAGATGTTGCGTCCAAGCTATGCCATTTAGAAGAGTGCGCATTACTTTAAGGCCAAAGTGAGGCCAATTCCCCATTCTTGCTTCAAGGACGTATCCGGGAGGAACTCGTCGGGATGCAGTGTACCCACTGTGGCTTCCTCTTGCTTCTCCTTGAGTGGCCATATTCAACAAGGCAAATGGGTTGCATCCTCATTCGCATTAGTCGAGCCCTGGGAACGTGCATTTCCGCGCCACTGAGGCTAGCGTGTACGAACTCGCATCCTGTGCAACGCAGTGATCATTAAGTTAAACCCGGCTCCAGAGAAGTCATCTTCAATTGAGGCATTGTGATGCAAGCTCCTGGTCCCTCTTACAGCACTTGCCAGAGGCATGGGGGTTGCATCCATCGGGGACACGGGACAAAGGCATGCCGAAGATCCTTGTCTCTCAAACCAAACTAATCCTCCGGAAAGCAGAAAGTTACAACAAGTGACTATTAGTCCGGCTAGGGCGCTTCCCTGAAAAACTCTCCTCAGCCTGCCTCTACTGACATCCCTGTTCCTACCACAGCTCAGAAGCACTCAGTAATGTGACCAATTTCAGTCGCTCAGACAGTACACTTTTCGAATCCGGACGCCTGGTGGTGCCAGGACTATAGGCTACCAGAATAGAGACTTTCTTTGCTCCTTATTCAGAGTTACTGGAATAGATCCTGCTTCCAAACTAGCATAGAATTGCGACTTGGTCCGGGAGTCCCGGAGAGGAAACATGGAAGTCTATGTGCCTGAGGCAACCAATAGTACAACGAAAGTATCTGCTTAGCTACTTGCCTTATGCTATCCTCGATTACTCCTGCCTCACTCCGCTTTATAGATATTAGTGAGAATTCATAATTGGCGACGCTATAACAGGAGATATTGGAATCTCATCACCCGGAGCAGGCCAGTCTATACATGAAAGCGAGGCGGTGCGAGGGTCTTCCTAATCCCGTCTGCCAGCCTCCTTGTTCTCCAATTACAAACACTCAGTCAGCCAATGTCGCAACAGTGAATCCCCTACTAGTATTCCTATGCATTATTATATTATCCTTCTATGTTTTGTCTCGAATATGTACTTCTAAAATTTTGTTCTCAGCCTCCAACCACCAGCAACTCCCCTCGCGACCACGAATGCAGCACACGCCGCAAGATACAAGATTCCGCCAAAAAGAATCAGTCCCCAGAAAGCACCTCCATCCCTCTCCTGTATCGCCCCCGCAATAGGGATCGCAGTGAGGGTCCCGAAGCTCACCAGAGTGAACGTCGTTCCGTTTCGCTTGCCTATATCCTCCGTTCGACACACCTGTGCGATACAAACGGGCGTCAAGCTGATAGCCGCACCGCTCCAGAACCCGAACATAACCGAGTACGCGATGATGGCAGCATCGTTTGTGCCAGCATTATACCACAATGCGAGCGTCATGATTGCACAAACTAATGCAGTGAACGCCATCACGTTGAACCGTCCGAATCTGTCCGCGAGAAGTCCTGGAAATGCGCGTCCCGGGATGGCACCGACGTTGAGGAAGATACACAGTTTGTACGAGAGCGACTCTCCGATATTGGCATATAAACCGTACGAGCAGAGATAAGTATAAGGTACAAATACTGCAAACTCGACCATCCATACTGCAAGTGTGGTGAGGGCATAGTTGGGCTCTCGGAGGGCGCGAAGGTCGATCGCCATGCCACGCTTTGCGTCGGGCTTGAGCCGTGTCTTTAGAAGAAGGCATGCGCAACCGCATAGCACAAAACAAATTATCCCGATGATGCGCATGGCCCATGCGAACCCCAATTTCGGAGCGACATACAATATGATGAGGGGGAAGAAGACGCCACCGAGTCCGCCAGCAGTACAGGCGATTCCGGTGGCGATGCCACGACGGACATTGAACCAGTGTCCGATGGCGGAGATGGCAGGAGTGAAGAGACAGCAAGACGACAGGCCGCCTAGGACGCTGAAAGAGAGCATGATTTGGTAGTACTCTGTTATGCGTTAGTGGCATCTTCGAACAATCATAAAATAAGACTAACCTGTGCTCTCACTGAAGCAGAATACTGCTACCACCAAACCAATCGACCCCGGGACTACGACCGGCAGCGGTCCACGGCTGTCAAATATCGGACCTGTCGGCATCATCAGATCAACCGCTGCGCTTGATGTGTGGAAATTGGGATGATCTTGGTATATGGATATTGGGATAAAACATACCGACCTGGGCGCCTGCAAAATATAGGAAGAAGCTGAAGACGCCAAAGATCCATCCGACACTGGATTCAGAATATTCTGAGAGCTGATGGGTGGACGTCCACGCATGGAGGACTGAAATGGTATTCAACAATCCCATTGAGGGAACCATTGCACACCATGACCCTAGGACCACAAGCCAGGCCTGAAGGCCTCCCTCTGGATATTTCTCGTCGAAAGTGTCATCTTGTTCCTCTGTTGCTATTACCTGTGAAGCCGACTTCTCTATGGTTGCGTGGGCCCCCTGGTCCAGGCTATGGCAGACATGGGTCTCAATATCAGCCATTCCCAGATTGGTAGCTTGCGAATTACCCTCGGTGGATAAGAACGTTAACACAAGCGCTCGATGTACACCCACACGATTGAGGAGAACTGGCAGAGATACAGTACGGGTTACAGGAAGCCGGTATAAATAGTAAGAAAGGGCCTATACAAAGGGTCTTCAGCCAGACTGCTTATTGAGCCCTGCATATTGGGCATCCGCTTTTGCGGGCCTGGACGCTGCAGGAAAAAAAAAAAAATTGCGACAGCCCTTATCTCCGCAAGTGGGGATTTTGATAATAATCCCTAGTTTCTGGTTGGCCCATTCCGGGAACTTCCCCTTTTTCGGTAACCGGCAGTCGTCGCCGTAGGGCGCTCCCGAAATCCCCAGAAATCACCCGTCGTACCACATCGGGCCCCGCGACTCCGTGTGGCTCCTGGCTGCTCTTAATTCTACCTTGTTGCGACTACAACGCTCTTGTCTATTGGGTGCCATGAACCCCTCATGATAGAGTGGCTTGTTTGGAGCCGCCTCATAAGGCTTGAGGTTAAGCCCTTCTTCCAATTACGTAATTGCCGTCTGCTCTACCGGAGACCTCATTCAAGATGTGCCACCCCATGCTTGAGCTGCAGTTACCGCTGGAGCACATACTTTGTTGATGACTCACAATCTGCCATCAATTCATGGCTTGCACGTTATGATCAGTCAATTTCCTGGCTCGCAGACGGCGAAAGTTGGCTAAGAACCAGTCATACTTCGAACAGCTGCCAATGGTTGGCGACAAATTAGTCATGGTAACCACAGCATGTAAGAGCAAGACCTTTCAACTTTGCTATCGTCCATATGAAATTCATTCGCCAAGACGATATCCTAACGTTGCGTGCTGAGTTGGCTCTGGTTCCAAATTGACTGCTCAGATGGCGCTTAACATCAATTGCAGGGTTTGCATTGAATATCTCATGTCCACACCCGGTGATTCATACAAAAGCATGGCTCATTTCCCAGGCAGCTAGCTACCAGGCCCCAGCTTCCGGACACGAGCTGCATGAATTAGCCACGGACAGTTCTCATTACACCCCAGCTCTTCCTCCCGATTAAAAGCCCCCACTCGCTTTCTCGGGTACCAGCGCAGTGAACAAGCGGTCAACAGCTTCCTAAAATAGGCCTTACAGGGGAGTGTTTGATCAGTCCTCCGAGGGTTCCATGAACCTCCTTCTACTCTCTATCAGGCCAGGACATCGTTTACGAACAGCGCATACGTATCTGCTAATCCTTGTAATAGCTTTCGTCGTAGTAATGCGGAGGTCGAGACTACCTTGATAGCTGGCCATCAAGCTTGGCTATCCCAGCAAAATCTCTCTCAATCAGGTTTCAACGACTTAGCCAAGGAAGTGCGTAACTGAATACCATGACCACAGTGACGGTTGCATTTGGGAAACAATAGAGATGCTGCTATGAGATACTGTTGAGCGTATTTTCAGTCCTTCGTTCATCGGCCTCTCGAGTCGATAGACAAGGATCCCCAGGTAACCCTGCTGCATTGGGCTTGTGAACATGCTTCTGTAGATTAAAGCAGTCTACCTGGTTGAACTCGAATGTTATCGATTTCTCTATTACCTTGGCAGTGAAGCTGGGCATGGCCCTCTCTACTTGCTTTGCGTGCTATCTGCATACAACACTGGCTACTGTTCAAAGAAGTGTGAGGTTCCATGACTTTTTAAAACCCAGTTCCCTGTCGAGCTCCGAGTGATGTAAGCTTAGTCACCTGAGGTGTGTCTCGATCCACCGGCGGGCTGTTTCCTCATTTCTCCCCCCATGTTTGCGGGTGCCAGGTTTTTAGAAAGTATATCCTTCTAAGGTGTTTTTACTTCCTGGAACTCATTCAGGTCATCAGGGCTTTGATCTTACTTATGGACGATACTATGTCTGTGCGCAGCCTTCACGTACTCATGGATTTTATAAATACATGCACATGATCCGGGGTGGCGGATGGTGAACTCGCTAGCAGAACAGGCTGAGGAATTGATATCTGGTGAGTTTACAGTTCTTTAACTGTCGCCACAGGTCGTCATTCTCTTTAGCAGTAGCGCTTGTTGCTGCTTTTACTCTTCCTAATACCTCGACAAAGAAACATCGGAACAGCAATGGCCCCGATTCAGACAATGCCAATGCCACAGCCTCAGCTGTTCGGGCGGCCACGCATTACTACTGGTGAGAATCTTTAATTTTCTGTGCACACTTGTCGCTCTGTTCGCCTGCTGATGTATCAGGTCGGGAATGCAGAAACAAACCCTCTCTATCCCCAGGTCCGGACGAAGTACTGGTCAACTTGAAGTTCTCCGGGCTCTGTCACTCCGCCAATCATCAGTGGAGAGGTTAACCTCGTCCAGTCCCAGACTAAGACATCAGGCGCTGACTACTCTAGGAAATCATGTCACTAGAAAGAACCATCGCGTCGGTGTGCAGATCCACGGCTGTCGAAGCTTTCCCACATTATACTGACTTCCGGTGTAAGATGGTCACGAAGGTACGGGTATTGTTGTAGCGGCCGGTAACGAAGTGAAGGACATTAAGGTTGGTGATCATGTCGGTATACAGGTACTACCCACCATTGCTGCTGGAATGGTATGCTTCTGACGTTCGATTAGTGGATCAATAGGACCTGTGGTGTCTGCGATGCAGATAAACAATCAGATTACGTCTCATGCCCACACGCTCGGATGACCGGATATTCAGTTGATGGTACCTTTCGGGAATACTGCATCAGCCAAGCATGCCATGTCGTGCGACTCCCTAAACAGATCTCTCTTGATGTTGTGGCTCCGGTAAGCTCAGGCTCGTCATCTATTACCCTTGAGATCGTTAATACCCTACTTAGATTATCTGCGTCGGGACTACGTGCTTCAGAGCGGTACAGGAGAGTGGTGCACGGCCCGATAGCCTTGTAGGTACGTCTTTCCATTAATCTTTATGATTAATAGGCCACAGCTAACGCGATGAAGCTGTTGTGGGACCGCCAGGTGGACTAACAACATTGACATGTCAATACGCTAAGGCCCGTGGCTGTCGAGTTCTGGCCATATCTACAGGAGATGATGGTGATAATCTATATAAACAGAAGCTTGGTGTCGAGTACTATATAGACTACAGTTCTTCGGCCGATATGGTGGCTGAAGTCCAGGGTATGATTGGCAACGGCCCCGACGCTGCAATACTGATAGAGGGATCGGGATCACTTCTCAAAGGAGCACTTCAGGTTAGTCATTTTCTAAGCAGCGCCTGATATAACTACCTTCTTACCGATCTCAGTATGTGCAACCTAGAGGAACAGTTGTCGTTGTGGGCTTGCCTCCAGGGACCCCCATTGGCATTGACATATCTAAGTTGGTGTCAAGGATGGCGCAGGTGAAAGTTGTACCTTATGGGGGAACTCGAGAACAGATAGAAAAGGCTATCCTTGTTTTCACCAAAGAAAAGTTCTATCAACCATGCCATGTGTTCGCACTGGACCAGCTTCCTCAAATTCTCCATTCTATGCAGTATAGGAAACCTGAAGGAACATGCCCGGAAGCGCCGTTACGTTATGGCAGTCAATTGCTCGGCGAGGCAGTCATCAAGATGCCTGATGCTGAAGCAACCCCGAAACCTCAGATGGTAGCGAGCTTGCCGAGGTCTCGGCCTATATTCAATCAGACAACTTATAATATTGGCACATTCCTGGCCTATCGCTTTGAGGAGCTGGGCCTTCGCGATTACTTCGCTGTACCAGGTTGGTATATCATTTAGAATTCTTGTCTCGCTTGCTAACTTATCAGGGGATACCAACTTTTTCCTCCTTGATAATTTGCTGAAGAACCCCAATCTTCGTATGGTGACGTGCTGCAACGAGCTAAACGCTGGGTATGCCGCAGATGGATACGCCCGCGTATCATCAGCCCGCATTGCGGTTGTCGTTGTTCCCTACATTGTAGGCGGTCTGTCTGTTCTCAATGCCGTTTCAGGCGCCTGCTCGCAAAATATCAAATTGATTGTACTCTCCGGTTGTCCCACCACAAGCCTGGTGAAAAGCGACAAATTTTTGCATCACGCTCCCAGCGCTAAGAATAAAGACCAGGCTCTCCGCGCATTCGAAGGGGTCACTGCTGCATCTGTACGCCTCGAATCTGCAGACACTGCCTCTGATGTACTGGATGATACGATAGGTAAATGTCTCGACTCCAGTATGCCCGTCTACATTGAGGTTCCTAATGATCTGGCTTCCGCCGCATGTACTCGACCTTCGCCACTGAGCCGTAAGGTGAACTTGAAGAGCCAGCCACACATATTAAAAGAGGCTGTAGAAGAGATTACAAGTATATGGAACTCGTCTCAAAGGCCAGTGCTCTTGCTTGGAAGTCTAGCAGGTCTATCTCTGCCCCGTCGTCATATTGAACGTCTAGCAGACAAGCTTGGTTGTGCGGTTCTTTGTCAGCCCGATGGCCGTTGCATCGACGAATCTCATCCGCAGTATTGCGGTCAGTTCTGGGCTGGAATGACGAACCCAGAGGGTGAGCAAATTGTCATGCGCTCAGATCTCTGGTTAGTCTTTGGTGGAAATTGGTCCGACTTTCATGTTTTGATGAGTGGCAATAAGCAAGAAGGTTATCCCATGATTAGCGTGGACAATGGCTGGGTCGAGCTGCCCGACGGAAAGCACATTAAGTCTGTGAAGATTGATGCATTGGTAGCGCAGCTCATCATGTCTGGAATGAAACCGAAGACCGATTCCATTCCGCGACCCAAACCACTTCTAGGCTGCTTGCCTCCCGACGGAACAGAGGCACCGGAAGCACCCTTGACCTTGAAAAGCACTATCAGCGGTATCCAGGGACTTATAAAGGAGCATGACACGTTGCTCTGCGACGCAGGAGAGTCATGGCTCATCGCTAATTATATTCTCCTCCCCCTTGGAGCCAACTGCCAGCTACAATTTCCATATTGCTCTATCGGTTGGGCATTGCCTGCTGGATTTGGTTCCCAGCTTGCTCGGACACAAGGTCGATCCATCATCCTTATTGGAGATGGAGGGTTTCAGATGACAGCGCAAGAAGTCAGCACCATGATTCGTCATAGAGCGAACGCGATCATATTTATTT